GTTTTAATCAACAAAAAAAACACCAGTTTAAAATATTTTCCTTGGAAAATGCATTGAGTGACACATGATCTAGGATCCACCACAAAAAGATAATGCCAATTCGACATTTTTGGTCTAAAAAATTAAATGTTCTCAAAGTGGGCAATAGTAATAAAAATCATGACGATTTCTCGCAATATTTGTTGGGATGCATGGAAACGGATCGAGTTTCCACACCCAAAGATAAAGGAGAGAATCAAAATAAATGGTTCAACCCAACCTAATAGTATGGGGTCTTTTGAGAGGTATTTAAAAACAGATCCGTGAAGGTATACTCTAAAGCGGCAATATCATACTAATATGGGGTTAGAGTTGAGGTGAGAGTAAGCATTGTCCCAACAATGCAGGATTGGAGTGATGGTGCACACGGTCCCAACATATTCGTAGCCATGGGACCTGTAACACCTCGCCCCCACCATGACTGTAAGTGTCCGCTCATAGGATTGTAGATTGGCTCCACAAACCAACACAAGTCTTTCCGGCGCACTTTGTCCTCACTCGTGAGTGCCCAAAGAATTTACCAGGGGGTCACCCATCATAGAATTGCTCCAAGTTTAGCACGCTTAACTTTGAAGTTTCTAATTGATGAGCTCTCGAAATTAAAAGAAAATACACCTTGTTAGTATCAATAGTATTATCAATCCTTTTGAGCCTTTTCTTTCCCCAATCCATTTATTTTCAAACGAGGGTATTACATTCATCCCCACTTAGGAATGCAACGTCCTCGTTGCATCCTTTTATTTTCAAACCCCTAGATCTTCTCCGACATGTGAACTAAACTTGTTGGCCCGTTACGGTCGCAGGGTTGCTCTGACACCATTTGTAAGACCCCAGCCTCCACCCTGGTCGTAAGTGTCTGCTCACAGGATTGCAGACTGGCCCCATAAACCAACAGAAGTCTTTCCCGCGTACTTTGTCCTGACTCGTGCGCGCCCAAGAAACTTTCCAAAAGGGGTCACCCATCATAGAATTACTCCAAGTCCAGTGCGCTTAACTTTAGAGTTTCTAAGTGATGAGCTCTTGAAAAGAAGATGCACCTTGTTATAATGAGTAATACTATTGATGGATATCCGAGTCTGTGGCCCAAATAGGAACGACCCAATCGAAGTTGAGCTGGCCCAATAGATATCAGACTCCGATTGTGAATTCGGAAGCAAGCCCCGAGAGTGGGCCGGGAAGACATCTAACATTCAAACAAATGTAATTCTCTGAATTGTGGGATTGAGGGGTATCAATAACCAATTCTTCGCCATGATTGATGCACGATCGGAAAAATGGCCGATGATGTAGCGCACGACACTACTTGCTATGTATAGGGTAGACTTGACCTCTAAATAGGAGGCTGGCCCTCCATTGTAAACCAAGCAAAAAAGTGCCAAACACACGAGAAATATAAGACCACATTTTCAATATTGTTTATCTTGTTCTTCGTACGCCATAGCTGTTGGGCTAGATCCCATCAACTATCAATTCCTTTGAGCCTTTTCTTTCTCCAATCCATTTATTTTCAAATTAGGGTATTACAAGACCACTTTAGGCAACACCTACTACACCGTTTAAGATATGGGATCAAATGTGACTACAGATTTGATGCGCTTGAACTCGACGCAAGGCGAGTTTGTTAGCATATATATTTATTTACTTCTATATATGTAATTATTTTCCTTGTAACTTATTTCCTTGTAAGTAGTCCTTTCCATACTTGTAGTAGGACTTGGCACATGTATATATACGTTGTGAATATTCAATGAAAGGCAGTTCAGTTTTTCCCAAAATTCTACAGAGTTTTTGATATCTTTCGTTTTTTGAATTGAAGAGACATAAAGAAATAAAGTGATTTAGAGACTTACTAGTCAATGACTTTGGCGCCTCCACGAAACCCGTCGTGGCAATACGAAATGTGTACTTTTACGTACAACTTGCACGTTGTTTCAATTCTCACGAATTTCTCGATCCACACAGGATCAAAATCTTAACAACTCTCAATTACAAAATACACACAATTATTATTCAAATTCAAGATGATGATACAATGGAAATGCTAGCCTATTTATAGGCACAATTAAACCACGCACACTTAATTAAAATAAAAGAAAAAAAATACACAATGAAACTTCTAGGAAATAAACTAATCTTCTTCCATCCATCTTGATCTTGAAAATCATTCAAAATATACTTTGAAAAAAATTTAAATTTATTTGGAAAAGACAAAATTAAAATCAAGCTAAAATAGGAAATTATTGGGCAATTTCCGGACTCTAACTACCCCAGAACGGCTGACCGTTCCTCGCCCACAGTCCAAGTGGTGGACCATCGTCCGCCCAGAACTCGTAGTCAAATTTCCTCGCCCATTGACTCAACATATGGGCGACCGATGCTCCACATACCTATCACCTTTTCTAAGTGAAACAACTCCTTAAGATCCTCGCATTAGAAATGCTTTTATGGTTCAAAGGAGTATGCATGAGGGAGATGAGGGAGAAAGAGAGAAAAGAAAAAGAAATGTATGAATCAAATAAAAGTTCAGTCATGTGGAAGGGAAATCTTGTTGTTAACATGGAAACCAAATGCAAACTATTGACACTAATAAAGCTTCTAATAGGGCTTAAAAGCAATCTTCCACTTTTGTTGCCCAAATCTTAACGGTTTTTTTTTTACATAGATACATATATTTGCAACAATATAGTGTAAAAGTTTTTAGTCAAATGATTAAATGACATAAGCAAATTATTAAAAAAAAGTGATTATGTTTTTTTTTGTAAATCAGCTTACCTTTTAATTTGAACTTTTGAAAGATCAAAGAATGATTTGTCGTCCCTAGAACCATCAAAGGTTCAAATTAAAAGGTAAGAAGAAAAGCAGAAACATTATCAAGCTATTGAGCTCTATTAGCTTACATGTGGAAACAGTTTATTAAAGAAAAAGGAAATGTTGATATAAACCGGTGTGGGAAAGGACGATATAAACAAGCACGTTTATGGAGTGTTTTTGTTTGCTTCTGGAAATGTTCTCTTGGTTTTTTTTTTGTTGTTTTTATATTTAGCAAATGCCCCAGATGGCTAAACCTGTTGTATTGTTAAAATAGAGTGAAAGCCACTGGGCATCGGGCAGTTGGCGAGGTAAGGAGTGCCAAGAGAATAAAACCCGAGTTCGATAACCCTAGTTCGATTCCTTGCAACTTTGTGTTGGGGAAATCGAAGATAACATGGATTAATCTGAGGGTCGTGTAACACTTTCAAATTGATTATTTTGGGTGTTCAATCCAAAAAGGGTCATGCTACACTTACACCACAAATTGTACCCCATTTGTACACCGCAGTTATACACAAACATTTTGATGGTTTACACCGACACAAGTGTTGGTGCGTTAACAAAAATTTACACGGACACAAAGTGTTGGTGCATTAACAAAAATTAGTTTTACACCAACACAAAGTGTCGGTGCAAACCTGCAGGGTACAAAGTGGGGTACAAAAGTTGGGGTACAAATAGCTTTATCCATCCAAAAATCAATCGGATAAAACTCAAATTTTGACAAGAACATGTATAAGTTGATTATGATTTTTGCTCTTTTCGACCAAGGATTTGTCGGATTCATATAGTCGCGGAAGGAAGAAAGAGAACTTCTGCCCCCTTGGAACCCCCGTTAATACGGAACTTTTATCATAACAAACTAAACGAAGCGTGCACTTCGCACCACCAAACTTCTTTGATGATTATTATGATACCAATGGTCAAATAGTTATTCCAATTGCACTAAAATATATAACAATGCGCTGGGAAGCAACAATGCTAAGCATAAGACTTCTGCAAGTATCAGGTACAAGCTCCACTCTTTACCACCAATCTGCAATCAAAGTCCAATTTACTTCCTCTCAGTGACTATCCGACCGGGTCTAAGAGGACCCTCGGGGATAAGGCTCATTCTTATTTATTTATTTTTTTTTTTGATAAAATAAAGTGAGGGAAAAGAATGCTGCTTTGTATTGCTTCAGTCAATTACGAGTAGTTCTTTTCTCTTTCTATTCATTTACACATGTTTTTTTCATTTACTGATTACTAATTACCTTTGTATTTAATTAGAAGCCATTCACATCTTTTAGAAAATGAATTTTGGCAATCTTAATGTAGGAGAGTATCTTGGCATCTTCTGTAATTATTGGAAGGTTTTTTTTAAATTAGTTAATAAATTTATTTATTTAACTAGAGCCACTGTCCTCAGGGTTGTTATGAGCAAAAATCTGGAGAATCTTCTCTATTTATTTAGATGGTGTTTGTGAGTGATTAACTTGTGGATAAAGTGATTTCTACAAAATCTGAAAGCAAAAACACCTCATAACTGCTTCTCTGAAACGACGTTCTATGTACAAAATAGTGGTGGAGAAAAGCAAAAGCTGACATACCAAATAGAGTAAAAGCACTTCCACTCAAAGCAAAAGCTAAATTCTTAGAACTTATAAGAATTTTTTTTATGTACAAAATCACTTGCATCAAGGTTTTTTTTTGAATTCTCTCTTAATTAAATATCTTCATAATCTTAAAGTGTATTTAATATTTAGTGTTTCATATAGCCTATTTTCAGTTACGCGGTTCTAGACGTTGAAATTAATATCACTTGTTTTCATCTGTTTAATTTCACCCGCTTCACCTGTGGGTGATGGATGGGTCAGGAAATAGATGATAGATGGATCGAGTGATAAATTTATAACTAATGGATAGATGAAGGTGAAATTTCACCCGATCTAAACCCGATTCATTGTCATCTCTAGTAAAACATCATAGATACCCACTGGAGGGAAAGAGACCCATTCGATAAAATCTAACATAGAATCAAACACTCAACCAACAATTGAGCAACTTGATTCGCTAACTTTTTAAAGAATGGTCAAGAAAGCTGAGAAAACACGTACATCAAAGCTAAACAATAAAAAATAAATTTAGTAAAATATGAAAAATAACTTTCTCCGTTTTCTCCTGTAGCGTACGAAAGACCGTCGTTGTCCATTTCAACCAATGCTTAGCTTGTACCAAACATTTCTTTAGGACTCTAAACATTTCTTGCTTTCACGTTTTCGGCCATTCAAAGAACGTGCCTGAAAGTGAGGTTTATTCGCATTCCAATAGCTTTTGCACGCTTTGGCACGGAGTGGAGCCAATCCCGTTGAGTATTGCCTCTCATTACCAGCAATGATCCATTTTTTAGTGCAAAACGGTGCTTTTCTGGATCGTCTGGCTTCTTGGAACGCTTGCTCTGGGATTCATCTTCACCATATTTACCTGGTATGTTTCGTTAAAAACCACAATCAGAAAATTTCAACCCAAAAAAACTTCCACTCTCCAACATTTTCACCACATGATTTCACTTTTTTCGATATAATGTCCCCGATCAATTACGAATTATGTTCTGGCATGAAGTACCCACACTTCATTTGATCAACGACACATTCATTAATGATGCTCTGCATAAAAGTACAGAGAGTATGACATAAAAGCTTCTACCTCGGGAAATTTTATTTGGTTTCTTTTTCAAAAAGAAGTCCCTTTCACATCCAAAGGAAACAGATGCAATATCTGGAGTGGGACCATAAATTTTCTCATCATCGGCATGCCATCCAACGTAGTCATTCCCTCCGTTGTACCTATTCATAAGCAAGCTGTTGAAAGAGGTTCCGGGAATCGCTTTATGGACCTAGGGGTATATAACATGACATCAGATGTTAAATAAGATAAGATTTGATCATATGATCCATCAGACATTTGAAGTGTACATATTACAGTAAGAGGCCAAAGCAATCTTACTGCATCTAGGATGTCCGTGAGAGGAGGAAAATCTTCCCAAGAATACACACGTGGTTGATATCCACTATAAACGTACTCTTGCAATCCTTTGCTTGCAACATAGCAAGTTTCCCTAGGCTGCCGTGAGAGGTTGTTTGTTAGCCTGGAAAGTTTAAAAAAAATCTAGGAATTCACAAGGTAGGGAAGTGATCCCCGTGTTTGGTAATGACTTTGATTAAGGATACAACAACAAACCCAGTAAAATACCACAAAAAGAGGGGTCTGTGTAGGGTGTATATATGCACGTAGACCTTACCCTTCCCCCTACTGTGATGTAGAGATGTTTCCAAAAACTTTTTTTTGAGGATAATTTGGTCAAATTCCATGAAGACGAGGATACCGTTTCTACCAAGGGGTTGGATTCTTTTTCTCATACTCTCCTTGGGAAACATCGTTTAAGGGTCATTTTGGATGGAAGATTTTGGATGCCAAATATTTGAGATTTTAAAATATAAAAATAAACACATTACACATTACAATAGATGGTAACATAAGTACTTCAACTATAACATTTCAAGCACCATTAGTTCATCTTAAGAATCAAATTTTTGACTATGCCTCCAAAACACTCCATATAAACAGACCCTACAGTTTAAACCCCAACGCTATAAATTTCCCAAAAAGAAGAAGTTTTTTCCCTTATCTGTCACAACGATAATGCTTATCTCCGTCATTTGGGTGTCCAATGATCAAATATATAGTTTGGAGTGGAAGTAAGATGAGTGCTTATGTAGATTTCCCTACAATGTCTTCTTAATGAGAATGTCATCTGTTTTTTATTGTAAAAAAAAGCATCAAGGAGTCACCCCTAAAACTAACTACCAGCAAAGAAACAGTCATTATTTCAAGGCTAAGGAATAAAAGTTTTGTGAGGGCAGAACTTCATTCTCCTAAAACATAGGGGAAACAATATATGATAACACAGGGCAGAGCCACAAGTAAATGTTCATGGAAATTAAATACGGAGTAGGAAAAAAAAAGCATACACTATGTTTCACATCCCAGGGTTGCAATAAGGTACAAAATAAAATATGCTCTCTACGTCTCATAAAAAGAGTCTTGTTTCAAGAAGGTAATTTTTAGAAAATACACAACAATTAAAAATAATCAAATATGGCTCTATTTTAAAACTCATTTGTTAGTTTAACTTTAAACTAACATTAAATAAGATGAAAAATAAGAAAAAATAAATCTGTTGCTCATATACACTCTTTTTTGGTACAAAAATAAGATATGATCAAAGTGGAAACACAGTAAGGCAATGTTTGGGCAGATGAATTTCATTAGAAATTCAGGAATCTGAATCCAAATCTTCATTTATTGTAATTAAATACCTGTATCCATTTCATTGTTAGGAGAAAAGAAAAAAGAATTTGAATTGAAAAAAAAAGTGCTCATTTGAATACAAAAACATGGTACAGAGAGAGCCTAATTCCAGTTCATGACAATCCATACATTGTAATTGTAAGTATGTGAGACAATATTATACAATCCCATGATTCCAAATGAAACCCATGAACCCTAACACATGATACACAGAATCAGAACATAAGGAACGCATAAACCTGGAGAAAAGGCCGACCGAATACGCGAATGGTGGGTCGGGTCCAAGGAATGTGGGCGTTGAGGTATTGCAAATAATCCTGGGATTGGTGGCAGGATAAGAATCTGGGTATGTAAATCACGCCGCTTCCATTCCCAAGATCCATTTCTTTTCTTGAATTGTCTTCTGCCATTACAGCTTCCTCCTCATCCTCAGCCTCGAGGGGTTTTAGGGTCAGCTTCGTCGCCATCTTTGGGTTTTACTGTAAAAAAAAAAGAAACTGAGAGACAGGGTTTTACTGTAAAGTTCTAAATCAATTGAAAACATTGTTTTCCTGGTACACAAGTTTAAGGTAAGTTTGGTTAGGAGAAAATATAATCATAGAAGAATATTTCGAAAAAAATGATTTTTTAAAAAAAATTAGATTGTATTGTTTAGAAAAAAAAAAATTTCTTAAAAAAATAGTTTCTTTTATTAATATTTAAAAATTAAAATTCTAAACTTACCAATTCATATTCTATAACAAGAAAACAATTTGAAATCTACAATTTGAATTTTGCAGGTCAAAATGAAATCAAGTGAATCTTTTTTGGGTGATAACAATGAAACGCGTCTTATAGACTTTGGTTCTTAAAGATTTAAAATATGAAATTTAAAATTTAAAATCTAAAAATCAAAATTTAAAATTTAAAATTTTGTTAAGTCATCCTTACAAAACTTTTTATTTTGAAAATGGTCTTCAAACATTGTTAGCACTTCTAATTTATTGACATAACACATTTATTTTGTACTCGATCAACATCTTAACCTTGCATTTCTAATTCCTTAGATACAATTCTTATTTCATAGATTGTAACATTTATCGCATTATATCTGTAATTTCTAAATTATGCTATACTATATTCCTCGAATATTTAGGAATTGGAGATGAAATATGAGTAAAGGTAAGACTAAGATGTTTAATACGAAATAAATGTAGGAGAATTTACCTAAATAGTACTAAAATATAATGGCTTTTCCAATGTGGTACTATATGTTTTTAATTTCCAATGTAGTATCATTGGTTATTGTCCACTAGTCATTGTTCAAGTAAATGTTTATCGTCACTAAACATTGTTCAAATTAAAAGTCCACCGTCACTTGACATTGTTCCCGCCACTAGACATTAATCAAGTTTTATTTAGTGTTCCCGCCACTAGACATTAATCAAGTTTTATTTAGGAAATAAAAAAGTTTAAGTACTACACTGAGAAATGACATATGTTTAATACTATTTGGAGCAAATTTCACATAAATTTATTATCTCAATAAAGTAGAAAGGAAAAGTTTTCAATGACACTAACATTTTGTACCAATGTAAACCATCAAAATGTTAGTGTCATACTTTGGGGTAGAAAGTGGTGTAGATCAAGGGGTGTACAGATAGCTTTATTCAAGTTTATGTTTTCAATCTTAAAATTACTAGAGTCACCTTCGGTGTTGTTCTATTATAAATTTGTTAATTCTTATCTTCCTAACCCCCAACCGCCCTGGCCCTTGGATCCCACCCAGCCCCCTGATTGCCGATTTGGGCAACAATTTGGACTTGCCCAAATCGGCAATATTATGGGAAGAGAAGCTCGGGAGCCCAAAGCGGCGATCTAAGAGACTGTGGAGGGGATTGTGGGTTAGAGGGGTTCATATAACATATTCATTTCGTACCCAAAATCCTAATATTGCATTTTAATTAATTATCTCAGACATAATTCTCATGCCATAGATCGTGTCCTTCACTAAATTACATCTCCAATTTTCAAATTTTGTTATATTACATTCACAAAATATTTAGAAATTGAAAATGTAATATAAATAAAAACACAATATAGGGAGTATTCAAATAAGTTAAATACTCCCTCCGTTCCATAAGAAATTGTGACTTTAATATAGTTTGTAAAAATTGTTGAAATAATAAAAGTTCAGTGGCTAGAATTTATTTAGATGAAAGAGAATATTTTGCACTACATATTTATTACAGTACAAAAATAGGATATAAAATAAGTATAATTTTTTTTAGACGTCCAAAAAATAAAATGTTTAAATTTTTTACACAAGAGTTTAAGGCCCAAAATTATATAGACATTTTAAAAGCTCACTTTATATATAAACAGTTTATTTTATATAAACAAAAAAAGGAGTTTTTTTGTAAAGTAATATTCTATTATGGTTTTTTTATGGAAAATGCTAGAGGTACACCAAAAGTGTACCCCAAACATCCACCACCCCCTCCATAACCACACAAAAAGGCAAGTAAAATATAAAAATAAAATAAAATAAATGGTAAAGATTAGGGTGGTGTACATTTGGGGTACACCGTGTACCCCTAGCATCTTCCTTTTTTTATTACGCACAAAATGTGAATAGGTTTCTGAGTTTCTCTCGTAGTTAAGCAAACTTAATTTTTTTTATTTACAAAATGCTACAAAAAAAAAGTAAAAAATTAACAAAAGGTGAAGGTCCAATTGGGGTAGCCTTTGAGGTTAGATGGGCCTAGAAGACAATGGGCCGTTGTCCTTCCATTGAAAATGTAATATAAATAAAAACACAATATAGGGAGTATTCAAATAAGTTAAATACTCTCTCCGTTCCATAAGAAATTGTGACTTTAATATAGTTTGTAAAAATTGTTGAAATAATAAAAGTTCAGTGGCTAGAATTTATTTAGATGAAAGAGAATATTTTGCACTACATATTTATTACAGTACAAAAATAGGATATAAAATAAGTATACTTTTTTTTAGACGTCCAAAAAATAAAATGTTTAAATTTTTTACACAAGAGTTTAAGGCCCAAAATTATATAGACATTTTAAAAGCTCACTTTATATATAAACAGTTTATTTTATATAAACAAAAAAAGGAGTTTTTTTGTGAAGTAATATTCTATTTGCTTAACTACGAGAGAAACTCAGAAACCTATTCACATTTTGTGCGTAATAAAAAAAGGGAGATGCTAGGGGTACACCTTTTGGTGTACTCCAAAGCCCATTGTCTTCTAGGCCCATCTAACCTCAAAGGCTACCCCAATTGGACCTTCACCTTTTGTTAATTTTTTACTTTTTTTTTGTAGCATTTTGTAAATAAAAAAAATTAAGTTTGCTTAACTACGAGAGAAACTCAGAAACCTATTCACATTTTGTGCGTAATAAAAAAAGGGAGATGCTAGGGGTACACCAAAGGTGTACCCCAAATGTACACCACCCTAATCTTTACCATTTATTTTATTTTATTTTAAAATTTTTTACACAAGAGTTTAAGGCCCAAAATTATATAGACATTTTAAAAGCTCACTTTATATATAAACAGTTTATTTTATATAAACAAAAAAAGGAGTTTTTTTGTGAAGTAAAATTCTATTATGGTTTTTTTATGGAAAATGCTAGAGGTACACCAAAAGTGTACCCCAAACATCCATCACCCCCTCCATAACCACACAAAAAGGCAAGTAAAATTTAAAAATAAAATAAAATAAATGGTAAAGATTAGGGTGGTGTACATTTGGGGTACACCTTTGGTGTACCCCTAGCATCTCCCTTTTTTTATTACGCACAAAATGTGAATAGGTTTCTGAGTTTCTCTCGTAGTTAAGCAAACTTAATTTTTTTTATTTACAAAATGCTACAAAAAAAAAGTAAAAAATTAACAAAAGGTGAAGGTCCAATTGGGGTAGCCTTTGAGGTTAGATGGGCCTAGAAGACAATGGGCTTTGGAGTACACCAAAAGGTGTACCCCTAGCATCTCCCTTTTTTTATTACGCACAAAATGTGAATAGGTTTCTGAGTTTCTCTCGTAGTTAAGCAAATAGAATATTACTTCACAAAAAAACTCCTTTTTTTGTTTATATAAAATAAACTGTTTATATATAAAGTGAGCTTTTAAAATGTCTATATAATT